GAGGGGCGGCCGGCGGGGGACAAGGCTGGGAGGGACGATCCCTCGGATCACCCGCCCCAAATCCAGGCATCCTTCCTGACACGGTCTTTCCCCGATGCTGCTCCTGCAGCTTCGTAGCCAGTCTTCATAAATTTCTATCGATTCTGTCAAACAACTTCTATCTCACCCAGTTTCATGTCGATTTTTTGTAAAATGAATTTTCTCCCCTTTTTCATGCAGAAGAGATACAAAGTGAGCTTTAAATAAGACTATAAAGAGTGTTAAAGCAGAGGTCTCTGGACCATGTGCTCAACACCAAGAATACTTCTGTTTAATCCCATTTTACCTACACTTCCCCCTTCAGCAGGTCACTGGCCAAACCTTTTCACTTTGAATTTGCTCACAAACTGAATCGCCTTCCTTCCTCATCGAGTTAGATGGATTCAAGTAATGACAGCTGCCGAAAGGACAGAGTATGAACAAAACAACTCCAAAAAATGGGCTCAACAAGGTTCGTTTTCAAGCTTTTCCTTGCTTACTTCTTAGCAGAAGGATGTACAAGTAGAAACAATTTCCTCAATTAATCCCTCTTCAACCCAAATTAGTTTTTTCCCAACTCTTTTCTCAAATATTTTGTTTTACAATCTTGCCTGAATGAACTCGGCCATAGCCACGGTTCCGTTACCCAAGGAGAGGAAGAGGGACAGCAGCGGGGAGGGCTGAGACGATGCCCCAGCGGGTCTGCGCAGCGCGGTGCCCGGCGGGTCGCTGGCAGAGGCCAGGCGATGCAGGGCAGGACTCCGGGCTCCTCCGTCAGAGCCAGGGTCTGCTCACTCGGCCACAGCGGTTTCTGGCTTTGCGCGAGTGAACCCACACTCTTCAGAAATGAGGGCCACGGAAAATCAGCGGCCAGGACGGCGTGCCGCACTGCCCCAAGGACGGCACTTCCCCTCCACGCCGAGCAGCCGTAACTCGGCCTCCGCACAGCCCGCAACCGCAGGAACCACGCTGCGGTGAAAAGAAGGGCTGGCCGTCACGCGGAAGGCTGCCGTGGCATTTTAATAAAGTGCAGTCGGCCATGAATGGACGGTGAAACGCCGTACCATCATGAATTTGTCTGAAGGCATCTGTCACTTAGGGCCCTTTGCTTCCTCTTCACCCCGCT